CAGCTCTGAGCTAATTACTGCCTCCAGCATCTGAACTGTATTTTTATAGGTGGGTCATGAAACTGATGTAGTGACCAGCTGACTCACCTAAAAAATGAAAAGAAAGATATTTTTCTCCGGGCTAACATTACCCAAAAGTAAAATGTGGGCACAAGGAAAAAACCTGGCAGGGTTGTTTCTCAGCCTTCTTGTCTCAACCCTTGTGTCCCTTCTCTTTGGTTCTTCCTCTTTAAAGCCCTTGAGCAGGTCTAAGACAGGCCCCATTGTCAAGCAAATAATCTTTTTCTTTTTACAATAGAAATAATCTTTTCTTTTACAATAATCAAAATTAAATTTTCTTATTGGCTGTGAGAAGTTGATAGAGAAGCACAAATGTGTTGGGCTCCAAGAGTTTGTCAGGAGGGGTCAAGAACCCATTGTCCTGTTGGCTGGAGGCAGAGCCCTTCCCAGAGTTCAGCCATTGGAAACACACGTGGAAAGGGAGGGATTTTCATGGGAAAAGCAAATGGCACATCCCTGATGCAGCTCTAAAGAGAGGAACAAGAGAAGAGCCACAAAACCAAGGGAAAAACCATCTCACTGCCACATCTGCTGTGGACATGAGCACAGCAAGATCCCTGAGGAAAGGCAAGGAAATAATCTGTAAATGAGCCTGTGGGAGAAGAGAGAGGAGCAAAGGCAGTGATGTAATTCAGCTTTTTCTCTTGAAAATGTCTGCTCTAAAAATAGCCCATGTTAGTCTTTCAACAGTGACACATCGTGAGCTCTGCTCTTTATGGAGAAAAATAAATTCTAGAGATGCAATGGCTCATCTCTGCCCTGTGCCTGTCATCTAAAGGGTAAGATATCTTACATAAAGGAGGATTTTATTCCCCAGCATTAAACCAGCCTCTCTGAGGCTGAATTTAATCAATCAGGAAGGTGGAGACCCATTGCCAAGTACTGCATGGAATAAGTTCTCCCAAAAGCCAGGAAGGGTTGTTTTCCAAATGTGCCACTGTCAAAAAGGATCAATGGGATCATCAGCAATCAAACTGCACCTCTCATGGAAATATCTGCTTTAAACTTACCCACTTTAGGCAATAGTAGCAAGCCTAGGCAGTGGAAAAATGTCTTTATTTAATTTTAAGGACAGGACAGTGCATCCAGCTCTGTTCCAGTGCCACAAGAGATCCCTGGCTGCAAGGCATTACTGCCATGCACTCAAAATGCTGTACAAAATGGTCTTTTCTCCAGGTAAAACCAAAAATTCCAAGAATGGTAGGAAATGCTCAAGTAAGCAAATATCCCTCAGCCAGGAGCAAAGAACTGATCTGCTACCCAAGAACAGAAGAAGTTGCCAAAACCCAGCTGCTGCCCATGTGCATGGAGAAATAAAACCATAAAATAAATAAATTATTTTAACTATAGAATTATTAAGGTTGGACAGATCTAGGGTATGATCAGATCCAACTGCTAAGCATGATCCACCTCAGTTTTGTGACAAGTCACCACCCCTTTAAGGGAGGAATTAGGGCCAGAGACTGCCACAAAATTGATGTTTGCCAGTGCTGGGAGGAGATGGATTTGGATCTGCAATTTCTGCTGTCACAGCCCAAGTTCAGCACAGCTTTCTCTCTGTACAGCAATAGCTCTGCAAAGTCAGGCTGGAAATCCCTTCCTGAGGGATTTCCTTTTCTTTCCTGCTGGGCAGAAACCACGTGCACTGTTTGTGAGCAGCCTTCCCTTGTGCTGTGAAGCCTGGCAGCCCCTTGTGCTGTGCTCCTGCCTCTGCCGTGAGTTCAGTGCAACCATCCAGAAGTGATCCCCTGGTGCACAGTCCCCAAAGGAAATCCTTGTTTTACAGCCAGGTGGTTGAGATGCATCAGATCTGCCCCCTCAAACCTTCTTGGGTTTTCTGTGATTGAAATGGCTCCTGAGGTATTAAAGAGCATTTTTTCCCAGCCCCACGACCAAGGCTCTTTGCTTTTCAAGGTTGTTTATTTTCTTTTATCTATAACATTCTTTCTCTGACCTGCTGAGATCTGTCTGGCAGGTCAGGTTGAGGCACTCTGACCACCCTTAGGGTGGTGTCTTTTTATACTAAAAACTATATGTACTTTATTTGTTGTCTTATATGTCACAACAGTTCTATTATCACTATGGTGCAAGGATTCCATAGCCTCAGAGTTTCATACCTCAAAGTTTCTCGCAGGCAGCTTATCTAAGCACTGCCTGTTCTTGGTCCTTGCAGCAGCCATCTCCTCTGACTGCCCACCAATCCACTCTTTTATGCCACTAGCTCTTATTTGTTACCGGTGCTGCCTGTCATCATCCGACCTGCTCCTAATCTTTAGTAATAGGGTCCAGCTGCAACTCATTGGGGAATAAGATTACACTCTGCATTACCTTCATTTTACCATACTGTGTCCCCCTACATTTATTTACAATAATTTTCCAATACCTATCACCTGTGTTAGACAGTCTGTCTCTGCTCTAAACCAATCCAGAAGTGTCACCATCACAGCAGAAGATGGAGGGCAAGAAGAAGAAGAAGGACAGGACATGCCCAGATTCCTCCATCTTGCTTTTTGAGCCCCCATTCTAAAACCCCAGAATTCTACTTTTCCACCCCGTGATAAATTAACTCTCATTCTACTCAAACCCTTGAGGCTTGTAAAAGCTCACAAAAAGTTGGGAATTGTTTCCATGGGCTACAATCAAAGGCACAGGTGTTTGTGACTCCGTGCCAAGGTCTCTGAGCCCCCTGCCAGGGTCTCAAGTCCTCCAGAGCAGCCAGAGGAATGTCCTGGGTTCTGACAGTGTCTCACCTGGGAGCTGCTGAATTAAGGCCAAACACCCACAGAGTGAAACCATGGAGGAATTCACTCACACACAGATCCCTGCTGGCTGCAGACACACCAAACAGTCTTTGGGGGAAAGGAAGGAGGGGTGGCAATGTCACACAGCCACGTGCACACAAAATCAGGTAGAAACCAAAGGTGTGGTGGTGTATTGTATTTGCAGGGATCCCCAACAAAGGGAGGAATGATGAATCTGACTCCATGTTCTCAGGAGGCTAATTTATTATTTTATGATACTATATTATATCAAAGAATGCTATACTAAACTATACTAAAGAAAACAGAAAGGATATTTGCTCAATGCTAAAAAGATAATGAAAACTCGTGACCCTTTCCAGAGTCCCGACACAGCTTGGCACTGATTGGCCAAAGAGTGAAAACAACTCCCAGCAGAATCCAATGGAACAATCACCTGTGGGTAAACAATCTCCAAACACTTTCCACATGTGAGCACAACACAGGAGAAGCAAATGAGATAAGAATTGTTTTCCTTTTCTCTGAGGCTTCTCAGCTTCCTAGGAGAAGAATCCTGGGCGAAAAGATTTTTCAGAAAATGTGAATGGCACAGTGATACCATTGGGATGAGGTTGCTGCATCCCCAGCTTTGCCAGCCCAACCCTGTGCCACCTTCCCTCCTTCAGGCAGCCCCTGAATTCACACACAGAATATTCTGAGCTGGGAGGGAGTTTACCTTCCAGAGGGTTATCAGGAGCCCAGCAGGGTCCCCAGGGCCAAACGCTGGTGGGTTTAGGGGTGAGGGTGGGGACAGTTCCTCCCAAAACATGTGGCATTGAAAAAACTCTTTCCACACTTCTCCTTTTAACCAGTGTTTTGTAGCAACTGCTTTCAGCAGGGGAGGAGTAGAGGGGAAAATGGGGTCTTGTCACTGGTGCTTTAAATTAAAATTGTTGCTCTAAATTAAACATTCTACACGTGCATGACACCAGGGAAGTGCCACCAACCAGGGAGTGAGAGCAAACTCTTGCCCCAGAAAATGCAGGGTGTCAACCAGGCAGACCCACTGAAAGCAGCAGGGCAATTGCTGACAACACCTGGAGGATGTGTCATGATGCACTGGGTGCCAAGTGTGAGAAATTGCCCTCAAGTGTCAGAAATTTCCATTTGTATTTATTTATTTGTTAAGGGAACTGTTCCCATTACCTGTGCTGCAGTGAAATCTGCCCACAGCAAGTTACTGTGTTTAATTATTCATTTCCTGAAGGTAAACAATTCACCTTCCCTTTTCAAATCTCTCCCCTTCCACAGCAATAAAATCTCTGCATGCTTTTGTGTGCTTGCCCTGCTTCTCCTGCCTATCCTTTATTTTAAAAATACATATCCCAGTCCTTCTTATCCTAAAGAGGAGCAACTTCTTGTAGACTTTTCACCACAGAATTCATTCCGTAAGGAGTTCAGGTGCTGCACAAAGCAACCCCAAAGATACACCCAGAGCAAGGATCACTGGTAATGTGGTGGAAATTTCTTTCTTGTGGGAATGTGCTGCAGTTCCTAACACAGGGCACCACTATGTGGATTTTTTGACTTTTTTTTGTTTTGGTTTGGTTTTGGTTTTTTGGGGTTTTTTTTGTTAAGGTTGGGACTAAATGTGTGAGATGGTATTTCTTGTTTGGACTCAGATATTTATTAGTTCTTATTTACATTACAGTCTCATAAAGTGTGAGTTTAATAGTACTTATTGCTAATGAGTTAAAAATGGAGCTGTATCTTTTTTTTATAATATATTTTTAAGTATAAACTTTCTAATCAAGAAATGACACAAGTTATTTTTACTTTTAACTTAAAAACTAACTACACATGGTCTTTAATGCAGATTTTTTTATCTAATTACACAATACTACTTAAACTCATGAAGAAGAAGGTGAAGAAGAAGGACCAGCTTCTGCTTTAAAACCCCTATATTGTTTTATATCTATTACTATATTCTAAACCCTTAAACCCAAAGTTTCCCACCCTGTGATATCACACACTTCTATTCAAACACCACACCCACAATCCCAGTTCTATCATTCCATTGTGGAAGCTTCTCCATGGACTCAGGTCAATGCAGTGTTCTCTTGAGGGTCAGCACAGAAATCTGAAATTCTCTCAGCACCCAGGGCTCCAACAGTTCACCACTGCTCATTTCTTCTCTTCCAGGTGGGCTGCAAGGCCATGATGGTTTTCTTCCAGTACTGTGTCATGGCCAACTTCTTCTGGCTGCTGGTGGAGGGGTTGTACCTTCACACCCTGCTGGTCATCTCCTTCTTCTCGGAGAGGAAATACTTCTGGTGGTACATCCTGATCGGCTGGGGTACGTGGCTCCTCCTCCGGGAGGGGATCTTCACTGGTGATTTTAGCAGGAATTTAGCACAGATTCCTGCGCACTCAGGTGGGGCAGAGGTGTTGTCCTGGTTTAGGGCAAATTTGGGAGAAAACCTCCAAAAGGGGCCCCTCCAGAAAGCAAACCCACACAGCCCCTCTGCCCAGCAGTTTGGGAAGGATTCCTGGGAGAGAAGTGGAAAGAACCTGTTTATTTAACAGGCACAGCATCCCCCAGCACACAAAATGAACAATACCAGGTGACACCACTCTGGAAAAGATGACAAATTCAGAAAGTCTCTCTTGGGAGTGGTCACTCTGTTATCAGTCCTTCTGGTGCTGGGGCAGCTGCTGCAGCCACAGGGTGCAAACTCTCGGTGTTCCCAGGTCCCAGTCCAAAGCAGGCTCAAGTGGTTCCAAAAAATGGAAAGGAAAAACAGTCCAGGGAAAATTCAGACTGCCTAGCTGAACTAACTAATGAGCAGAAGCAAGAGCAAGGCAGGAGTAAAGCAGGAGCAATAGCAAAGTGAAAAGCAAAGCAAAAAGCAAAAGCAGCATCATGTACTGCCCTGTCTCTGTGTCCCGCCAGCCGTGGGACAGCAGGCTGATAACAAAACAAAATATTTGTTCTTCAGAGCAAATTTGCTCACTGCACTGGTGATTTCTCCAGCCTTAATGCAAATCTGGTCTTAAACACATCAAATAAATTAATATCATATAATGAAAATAAAATAAATAAAAAATAAAGTAAAATAAAGTAAAATAAAATAAAATAAAATTAGAAAAATCGTATAGAAGAGAGAATTAAGCTCTTCACAAAGTAACTCACAACTGAATTTCTGGCTTATGCAAATTAATCCTACCAGATCAACTTCTTTTATTTCTCCAAAAAGGAAACAGAGATCTTTTTTCCCCTTTCATGCCATTTAGTTGAAGATTTATATTTAAGTAAGCAAATAACTTTCTACTGCCTGCTCTCAATAGCTGAAACTGAGAAATAATAAGAGCAGGGAAGAATCTTGAGAAGAAAAGGTAAAATAAAATTGTGCCATGTCCAGGGACATGCCAGGACTCAGGATTTGCTCAATTATCCATGGAGTAACTTCCATTAAAAGTGGCAGGAGCTATGCTTGGCTTCACACTGCAAAGCAGAGATGATTCTCCATGCTCTGGGCAGAAGGAGGGATGATGGGAGCAGGTCTTGTTTCAGTTCCTCAGGTCAGACCTTTGTTAAACTCACCTCGTGCTCCAGATATCCTTTATTTCAGCACTGGAGAGCTGGCAGGTTTTAAAGAAAAATGCATGAAGATTGCATGATTTAATGCATGATTTAAATCAAAGGAAATTTCTTGCTCTCCTAATGTGTCCTGAGGTCGCTTGGGTGCAAAAGGGCAATTCCAGAACATGGCAAGTGCTTGAGGGATATTTTGGCCTTTCAGTCATCCATTATTTGCAAGAGCATCAGGGATGGATCTGGAATGGATTATGCATGAATTAATAATTTGGATGCACTAATTAGAGTTTTTACTGGTTTTATTACCATTGCACTTGGAAATCACTGGTAATAAAGTGTACACAATCTGTGAGTAACACAGAGCAAAGAGACATATCTTTCCTGGAGTATTTCCAATCTAAATCCAGTCAAAGATAAGAGAGAGAAAAGAGCCAGGAAGGACAGGACAAAACCACCCAAATGTGGCAGACCATGGAGTGAGGAGCAGAGGCAGCTTCACCTGTGAATTTGGCACTCCAGGCTCCCTTACAGAGCAAAACAGTCCAGGGATATTTCATTTTTATTGTTCTAAATCAAACATTTAACGTAGCTGGATGACCTGTGAGTGAGAAACACAATTCTGCCCCTTGGTTCTGAGGAAAGCCTGTGGTGACCTCCTTAGGTACAGGTGTCCACACTGTAGGTGGCTCAAGTGACCCCAATTCCTTGCATTTCACCCCTGGAAGGTTTTTCCAGGCACTTCAACAGGAATTTCAACGTGCTGGGAGCAGTTCCAGTGAGCTGATCTTGCACGGCCACGGGGAGGGAAAGGCAACGTTGCCAGTTTGGCATGTGAAGGTTGAAAATGTGAAATATTTCCCCACCCCTGGGGGAAGGCATCCCCTCAGTCACTCAGGAGAGGTGGAGAAGGGAGGGAGAGCAGCCCTGAGACATGAGGCAGATTTTAAATAATCTGGTAATGAAATCAGGCAACCATTTGATCATGGTTTCTGACAGCAGCACCTTCTCTTCTCTCCTCAGGTGCCCCCTCCGTGTTCATCACTGCCTGGACAATTGTCAGGATTTACTTTTTCGATGTTGGGTAAGCCTGTGCACTCAGTTATATTTCCTTTATAAGGAAATTATATCAGTTATGTTTTCCTTTATAAATCCTTTAAATGGCCAAGGAAAACCCTGCAGCCTTAGCAACCCCAAAAACAGCAGTGGCACCTCTCCTCTGCCACCAGGAGCCAGGAAACTCTCCAAGGTCTCCCTGAAATGTCATTTTAAGTCAATCACTCCCCCTCTTTACTTCCCAGTGCCTTGGCCAGGATATTTGCAGGGAATTTGTGAGCAGACCTTGATGGCTGCATTTGGCCCCGAGCTCAGAGCAGAGCTTTGCACCCTGCAGAATTGACCCTAAACATGCAGCAGGGAAATTATAAACACACCCAATTCTCTCCCACAGGAAAAAGCTAAAAATTCTTTTTTCCCTCTTTTTTTCTCAAGCCGATTTTAGGATCTATTCTTCATCCTTTTTAACTTAGCAGCAGCCTTTGTTATTTTGTATAAGAAGCAGATAGAGTGCAGCTAAGAAAATGAGGCAGACACCAGAGTTATCCAAAGATATGGGCAAGTAAAGAGGATTTGATCCTGAAATCCTCATTCTTGCTTTTATTCAAGCAGTCAGACTGCAGTAATTGGAAAGGGTTTTATAGGAAAACACCCCAGAGAGAGGCAGAATCAAGTGCTGATTCTGTCCTCAGTGTGCATTCCCTCACTTCTTACGTTTGCATCCTGGAGTTAAAACCATTTTCTCCCATGCATTCTTCCCCTCCAAATGTGTCCTGATTTGCCCCTTTTTCACTACAAGAAGCAGCTCAGATTTCTCACTGCATTTTTGATTTATAGTCACGCCAGCACATTTCCTGAGGGCAACTCACTTCCTTTATGGTTTCGCTCTATCTGCATAAAACTGACCTTATTTACTCTGTTAATAAATAGCCTCTACAATGAGACAGAGACAGGAGCATTTAACCATTCAGGATACCAGTTTTTCTTACTATATATTCCTGTTAAGCTCCAAAAATTCTTAATAAAAATACAGAATTCTTTGCATTTTCTGGGGGCTTTAAAGCCCTGCATTTTTGTGCTGAGTAAAACAGAGCATGAATTTACAGAATGTATTAATACCTTACACAGATTTTTTTTTCGTTATCTGCAGAGAAAAATTACAGGAAATAAACCCTAATTAGGTAAGATTGGTTAAACAACACTGAGACTTTATTTAAACATTCTAGCTCCAAGTGAAAGTGACCTTCATTCAGGCTGTCTCAATTTATTTCAAAAATGAAGTGCACTAGACAAAATTAAAGCCACTTTAATTCTAAATGAAAGGGCAGCACACACCTAACTGGAAGCATCTGTATGTGAGAAATTTGCTCCAACCCCTGCAGAGTTAGGGCAGATTTAGTCAGTGTAGTCCACAGAGTGCAATTTTTATCACCCTAAAGTTGGTGCTTAAAATAGGTCTCAGGAAGTGTGCCCTAAAAGTGCCTCTCTTCATCTCCTCCTGCCTTCCCTGCCAACATTTGGAATTAGAGGAGCTGAATCTGGGTGAAATTGTCTGCAGTAGGCACCACTAATTCACTCTTACATGAAAGCAGCCCAATTTCCATGAATGCTTTCCTAAAAATGCACCTTCTGTCACCTGGCTGTGCAGATAAAGGTGTCCCAAGCAATATCAGTCATTTCCATATCAGTCCTTTCCTCTCATTTCCTCCTTGGCTTTAAAATGCATTCCCAGGTGAGGGGTGGTGTGTGCAGACAGCTCTGGCTTCAGGATGAAGTAAATCCCACCCTGGACCTTTTTTAACTTTTCTAACTCCATCCATAGCTCAGGTGCAGCTTGCTGGATTTATGGGACTAACCCCACCACTGGCTGGTATTTTTTTCAGAAGGATGTAATGGTTTTTTTGTTTTTCTGCTGGTGCCAATTGCTCTGTGCTTATCAAACCCCCTCCATCCAGAATGGTGGAGAGCCCTGGTGAATCTTTTCATAGATTTTGATAGATTTTCATGGCTTCCATAGAATTTCCCTGCAGCAGAGCTCAGTGTAGGAGAAATTAAGAAAAATCACCATCCTTCCCCACATTCACCCTGCCTAACATCCACCAGCCCATTCCATGGCCAAGGGGAAAAAAACTGACATTTCTTCTGGGATATTTGGTACCTACCAGTGCTCACAGCAAGTTTTGGTAATTCCCAGTCCATACACATGAGGTTTAGTCCTTTTCACACAGCCCAGCTTAGCAAAACTGAGCTTTTAGGGAAAACTGAGAAACTTAGAGGACTGCTTGCTTGCTGTGCTTGATGTTTTAAGTCTGGCTTTGTTTCTTTTTAGGTGCTGGGAGGAAATAGTGGAATCCCCATTCTGGTGGATCATTAAAACTCCTATTTTGGTGTCCATTTTGGTAAAGTATCAGCACGTTCTGCTGGCTGCAAAGCCATCTTTAGTCCTAACTGGGGAGGGGTGAAGGGATGTTGAGAAATGTCCTGTAAATGCCCATGGAAAATGTACTGCCAGGTAAAATCCCACTGTAAAATGAACATTTGCTTTAAGATGAGGAAATTCCACCTCAGATAAACACCCTCACCTGCAGCATTGACCACAGGAGGAATTTCAGTGGCCAGGCCACCAGGGTGGAGCTGACTTGATGTAGCTTTGACCACCTCCATCTCCTTGGTGGGGTGGCAACCGTGGAGAGATGGAGAAATGTGGTTGGACATCCAGAAAAGCCTCATTTTGCCCCAGGAATCAGTGAATTCCACCAGATGACCTGTGCTAGGAAGGATTCTGTTTCTCTGAGCTGACCAGGATGACTTGTTCAGTTGTAGATGTCAACACTACAAATTAACATGAGTCCTACCATGAATTTCCACTTAGATAAAAAGGGAGTCGATGAATTCCCTCAGGAATTTGCCTCTTTCATGCAGTACAGAGTTGCATTCCAGCTGTGTATTTTTGGAGTAAGTTCTGGAGAAGTTTGGCCAATTTCCAGAAAAATCAACAGAAGTGTTTTATTTTAATTTTTTGGATATGATCAATCCTGACCATAGAAACCAGGATACTTCCCAGGAACTCTGGTCCTTCCATCCTTGTTGAACATTGCTCTGCTGGGCATGGATCCAAGTCTTAAGATCAAACGAACTTGAGTTAAACTTAGTTTTGAGTTTTCTTAAATGAAGTCAACGATGTGGCAAGGGAAGCAAAAAAAAAAAAATTGCAACAGAAATCAAATCAAATATATCTCTTTAAACAGAAATCTTTCCTTAGACATCCTTCTTATTCCATGTACATTATGACTTTTACAAGAAGACTTTTTTTATTTTTCTGTAGCATTTATCATGCAGGGATTCCAGACTGAAAGTTTCAATAATGACATCTTGCTCTGCTTACCTCACTGGAAAGAAATATAGTCCTTAGATGACACATCTCCAAATATGAATATCATCCTGGAAAGCTATAGATAGCATTTTCCCTTGCCTGAGATAAGCTTTCAGTCAAAAAACACCCTTTTATTCTCCTCAGATCAATGGGTCTGTATTTCCTTTTGGCCAATAAATCTTTTCCTCTTTGCCAAACAGAATTTACCCAGCAGTTCCTGATTTTCCTTTAGCAGATACCATATAAACCTTTCCTAAATAAAGGGCATGATAGCCACTGGCTGATGAACAGCAGGTTTCTCCAGGGGGTAATGCAGCATTTCCTCCAAATCCATGGGAATACAGCTGATATTTCAGTGTAAGGAAGAAATACATATACAAGATCTATAAGATCTTTAAGGTACATGAGATATATCTTGTGTACAAGGAAAAAACACATATACAAGATCTATAAGATCTTTAAAATACATGAAATATATATTGTGCACAAGGAAGAAATACATACACGAGATCTATAGGATCTTTAAGGTTCAGGAGATATATCTTGTGTACAAGGTGTTAAACACTGAGAACACATTGATTATTTTGATTACATTCTAGGGATAAAAAATAATCTAAACAACTCTCCAATATCCTGATTCCTGTATTTTCTGCCATGGAATTCCAAGGTTATACCAGGCCCATACACACACTGCACTCTGCTCTTGACCTCTCCAAGCCAATACAGTCAGAATTTAATTGTTTCATTCTTGCCTTTCTTGCAGCAGCTTGTGTGTTATCAATGATCATTAGGGTAGTTGATCTAGATAATGCTGTTTTGGGGCTAATAAATTTCACTTCCCACCAAATCAGACACACAAACCATTTTTTAGGGAAATAAATACAAACAGAAACTGTGATAAATTGCTCAAAGTAGGTAAGAAGTGATTAAGCAATGCATCATAACCAAAAAATGCAATGGATATCCAATCACTCATAGGCTTTGAAAAAAAGTGTCTGTTTGAGAGATGGGCTTCAGTCTGTTTTATTCATCTATTGTTGTGGTAAGTGTAGGAATTGCTGGAAGAAATCTTAGCATCTCTTTTTGCAGGCAATCAGATTGGCTGGTTTAACACAATCCCTTCCAGCTGCTGAACCTCTAAAAACCAGAATCATTTGCACATTCACTGACCATGAAAGGATAAAGAAAGAGGTTGTGTGCCAAACCATAGCTGAACTAAGTCCCCAGAAATCTGTCATTGCTTTACTGTTTGTGTTGCATGAGTAGCAGGATGACTCAACAGAGAGGACCTTGAAAGAAGCAGATTTGCATTCAATTCATGCCATCAGGACATTCCCATTCCTAGCTCTGCACCTTTGCTATTAAATAAGGTTCACATTGCTTGAGTACATTGGTGGGGCACTGTGAGGATTTGGGGTGAAAAGAACCGTCTAAAACCTGGGTACCAGCCAGGCTGCTCTGGACTAACATCCCAGGAGGGAACATTCCCCGCTGCCTTGGTGAGGTCTGTCCCTTGCTGCACAAGACAGAACATGGCCAACATGATGCCTTGGAGTGGCTACCTGAAACAGAAGCTAGACAAGATTAAGAGAATAAAAGTGGGTATCTATTAAAGGCCTACAAAGGTTCACCTTGGGCAGTCAGAAACCTCTGAGAGGAGCTACACCCAGGATGGACAATGGTCATGAGTTTTTTATACAGTTACAAGTATGGTCCATTTACATACCAGGGGTTATACTGATGTCTTACACAGCTGGAACAGAGGCTAGACAGAGTTAAGTGGAATAAACGGATATTTACTGAAGAGCCTTCAAAGGCCACACCCTGGCGTTACTGGAGCCACAGTCACGGCTCTGCCCAGATGGCTCCAAGATGGAAGCAAAAGAGAGTTTGGTCACAAGATCTCATATTTTTATAAGTTCTGGCTTATTTGC